CGGATATGGCAAGCACCTTCCGGCCAGCGGTGCGAGTAGGAGAGATCGTAGCCCCGCATGCACTCCTACAGCAGCACGTTAGTTTCGGTCCATTGGCTTCAATAGCACAGAAAGTTCCGCAACAAATCCCTTCCTTGCTACCAAAGGGGCAAAGCGACCCAGCCGGCACCCTCGAATCCGCAACAGGCTGTCATCCACCAGGGCAGCATTCACGCGAATGGACTTTGGGATCATCAGAGGTTCGGGGCAACCTCTCTTCTTCAACTTCTCCAGTTGCAAACGCAGTAGCCGCCAGTGGCCAAATTCTAAGATTCCGTCTTCGTCAAGGCCCTCCCAAACAAAAATATCTGAGGCGAGATCGGCATTTTCTGCACACTGGACGTTCTCAAGCCCATTTTGCTTGAACAGCACCTCCAAGCACTTGCGCAACAGCATGCGCTGCTCGACCACGACAACCGCGCAGCCGAGTCGGCTGGCAAGTGCTGCTGTGAGGCCGCAGCCACCGAAAACCGACACTCTGACAGCTTTCCCCTTCTCCTGAAGCGACCTGACGGCCTGATCCACCAAAGGCAGCAGCGACGCTCCCAGCGAACACGGGCGCGAATCCCAATCCTGTCGCCCAACACGTTTTGCAAGCTCGATCGGTGCGAAGAGCTCGGATAAACGGCCACCGAATTGGAGCAGGATTTCGGCATCCTCCTGCGCGCATCCACTCAAGCTTGCCAAGATTGAAGCTGGCTCATCACCTGATGCAAACTTCTCCAACAGAGCATCGCAAGAGACCGATGCGAAACATGGACGTAGAAGATCGGCACGCATCATGTTGCGATCTCTGGACTTTGCCAGCTCGAACTTCAGAATGTTGAAGGCGTGAACAGCTTTGTCTTTGAGCTGCGCCTCAAGTTCAATCAGGCCAGGAAACCCACCACCCGTGCCTGCAATCTCCTGCCAGGATCTGACTTCCGCCTCGCCGGCGACATGCAAATATTTCAGCAGCGACTGCAGCTGCAAGAATGAAGCCATGTCCTGCTGGGACTTGTGAGATGTGTACTCTCCATGGATGTGTAAGTGTGTGATGTTCCTTCTTGCGAGCAGTCCTCACACGGCCTCCTCAGCACCTGTTGTGCGTTCTCCAGCCAGGCAGCAAACGCCTGTGATGGTGCAGTCTCCAGGTCTCGTCGCAGGTACCTGGCTGGGCCCCAGCGATGAGGAGTGTGCAGGCCGGCCCTCCATGTCGACCAGCGCTGCTTCCTCAAGGACTTTCGTATGCATTCCCCGGCCTTGAATCACGCCCGAAACAGTCATGCATGTGCATGTTGAACGGCCCAGTCGTGTCGTGGCTGCTGCCTAGTGCACACTGTGCTCGTCCTCGTTCCTCGGCGACCGCAGCAGCTGCGATCGCCACTCACTGCTAGCACTGACACTGCAAAGCCAGTTGCAACAACAGCAGCAGCAGCAGCAGCAGCATCGTTACCATCATCACCGTCATCATCCGCAACCAGCAACATACGAGTAGCCATCCTCATCGCCGTCTGCAGAACCGATAGAAAGGCCCTCGTCGTCGAAGACCCGCGCCCTTTTCCTATCTTTTCATGCTGCCGATGGCCCACCAGAAACGGGAAGAGCCTAATTTACTGCTCTCATCTCAAACAATGTCCGAAGACATGTCGGTCAGCCCTTTCGTGATCACCCGCGCCGACATTCAAACATCTACCACAAAAGCTCTTTATGTCGCCGCATCCCGCAGATTCGGAGAGTTGTAGCACAAGCAGTGAAAGTATGGATGGACCCAGCATCCCAACCGAAGTCCTCGCAAGTCCGCATGCCGCAGCATTAAACTGCGCTTTGCACCCGTGCTGTTCCAGCTGCAGCACATCAAGCGCCGGACGCGTCGACATGAAACCACCATGCGCCGGTGTTTGGGCATGAGTTGGCTGCCCTAAACGACCCTAAAGGTCTGATGGTGTCGTCGGCACGGGCAGGGGTGGCTGATGCTCTGCTATGCTCTGCTGCAAGAACATGTCCTTCTAGGTGTGGACTGGATCTTCAAACCTAAACCTCTGGCTACGAATCCAATATCGAGAGACACGAAGAGTCAAGTAAGGCGCTCTACAAACAGTAGTCCTTCAAGCCTCATGTCACGCTGCTCTGGTCCGATACAAAGCTGCTCGGCAGAACATGCACTTGGGTCAGCATTGTTCTGGGATATGCCTCGGGCCCGAAGTGCAAGTAAGACCTCTGTGCTATCATGCTACGTCCTGGCATGGACATTCATGCATGCGCTCATACTCATATGTGTTCCAAACCAGAGACAATAAGCCAAAGTTCCCTGAACTGTACAAAGGGTACCAGCAGCTGAAAGTTATCTCCGGTGGTCAGCTCCTCCAGGGATTGCGTTGTGCCGCCACAGATCCTGACAAGCGTTGACAAAAACCCTCTTCTTCCCATGTCTTCCGATGAAGTGACAAACCTGACCCCGGATTCCTTCAGAGAGTTCTCCCGTAGCCTCTCCGGTAGTGTCTAGAAAAGAAGGCAGACTTGCCGGTTCTTGCGAGCGCCAAGGCTCTCCATCAGAAAATCAAACTCGTGTCGCAGAGTGTCGATGTAGGTCAGACCTGGATTGAAGAGCGTGGCGCTAGTTCGGCATGCGACCGTGCCGTGTGAGCCTTCTTTTGTTTCGCATGGCCTTCATCTAGACCATCCTATACTGTACCTCACAAGCCCAAAGATCCCCAAACCCAGCAGGCCAAGATCTGCTCTGCAACCGACACACTGCCCAGTTCGGCTTGACGTTCCAGGGCACCTCCCGAGTGCTTTCGGCTGTCGTCAAAAACCTCACACGAATGGCCACAATCACCTGCACGGCGCGCCACGGCCTGCGAGACTCGAAACCTGAAAACCCAGCCGCCCCGCCAACCGAGTCCCTGCCCCATCCTCGGCCGGCGGCCACATCCAAAGCTGCACCGAGACGTGCGGCAATATTGCGGAATTCGTCCGCATCGCCTCCCAGTTTAAGGTGCGCACGTTCGGCATTCGAGATCTGGTGGTTTTTTCAGAACCGTGAACTTCGCAAACAAAAAAAATCGTGACATGTATCCGAAGTCCGAAGGCATGCATCTTTCATGCACAGTCCAGGGGCAGAAGCTCAGCCATCTGGCGCTAGGATTGTCGTTGGTGGCCACTTCCTCAGGGACTTGATTCTCAAAGGGTTTTCTTCCTCTCCAAGTTTCGTCTTGGCTGATCCGTTCCCGTTGCTGCGGCTGAAACTGCTTACTGGCACACTCCGGTCCGGGATCGCATCCAGCAGCACATGGCTGATCCAGTGCAGCAGCCGAAATCTTGCCGAAAGTGTCGCCAAAGCACGGACGCTGCACTCCAGAATCCTTGTCCGGAAAAAGAAGCTTTCAGTGCAGTGCCGTGCTTCGCCAAGCAGAAGATGCATGATGTTTCCGACATCTTGCAAAGGCCAAAAACTAAATAGCTCTCGGCAGGATTCGTATGATCTCCACGTTGAAAGTCCGCGACTTCTTCTAGAAAGTCCTTGGCTTCTACAGCAGCACAGTGTGAGTGATGACGACAATCTGAATCCATTAGCTAGTTATTATGTTTGCAGACTCCAGAACCATCCCGAAGTTCATCACCCTTAGGATGCGCATCATATGTCCCTTGTCAGCCATTGCGTCCATATAGGCCGCCGTGCTCGGGAGCGGCTCTGGCGCCTGCGAACGATACAAAAACGGTGCAGTTCTTTAGTTCTTTTGTCCCGCTTCACTTGGGAGTTTCCGAAAATAGGGGACCCTAATATAGCACCCTAAATAATAGGATCCTTATTATAAGGACCCAAAATAAGGTACCCCCCTATTTTCGGAAAGTCCCACTTCAATACTGTTTGAACTCCCGGCAGTGTGGATGGCGCCTCTGGGGAGAAGCCGAAACTCGCAGAGAAAGTGCTGTGCAATCTTGACTCATCGGTCAGGCAGTCCACAACCTGAAATGCTGTTGGCTGAATCCGACCCACACGATGCTTCTCCGGACAACTCCAAGCAAGTGCAATCCTGCCTGCGGCAAGCCTTCTCCGTTGCTCAGCAACGCGTCGGCTACGAGCCGCCAAGCCGGGAGCAGAAGCATCTCTTGCTGCACCTTTGATGCTGCGATGCTTTTGCTCGGCAGGAATGACCTACGCGGCATGCACGCCAGCAGCTTGCAAGCTGCTACAAAAATCGTCGTCGCTCTGCCGAGAGGCGAAGGTCCGGAAGTGGTACATGGAGCCGGTGCCATCCACCAAACCCTTGTAAAACGGGTGCCTTCAACGAACCACAGCAACTAGCACGAATGATGCGGAAAATACAGTTTTTGCCTACATGGCTGAGCGAGTCGCAAAGTAGGGTACAAAGAGCTGACAGGCAAATTCACATGGGCGTGTTCCGGAAAATACAGTGATCCTAGTAATTAATGGAAACTCTGGCCACGTTCGGCTCGACATGTTCGACCACTTGCAAGCCAAGATGCAGCAAGCATTGCCGCAATAATCGTCGGGACCTGAAGAAGAGGAACTAAGCACAAATACGTTGTCCCGGTGGACCTGGCAACAGGAACCTGGATGCGCCAAGACACCGAGGCAAATCCCAAAACGCGTCCGACAGTGTCGCCAAGGTCACGGGGGTGGGCATTCTGCAAGTCTGTGCCGCTGCACAAATATTGAATCAGTTATTGTGTCCTACCCATCCAAGGAAATCTCAAACCATGATAGACAGGGATGCTGCTTCACATGCCCAAACATTCACCTAAATACGTACTAAAGTTGGCTCGATTATACGATCCATGCGGGGCTTACTGTACTGAGTTGGTAAGTTTATGTTTCGGCGAACTCATCCGACGGCAAGCGGCAATTGGGGAGCATGCTTCACAGCAACACTGTGCAATCAGAGATCAAAATCATCCGCAGCCACATGCCGTCACGACAGCACACTGCCGATGCTTGCACACAGCATTCAACCAGCCTTTGGTGGCGCAGTGAACTGCTGTTTCTGATGGCTCCTTGAGCGCTGGCAGGATGCATCCCGAGCCCCGGCCAAGATCTCATGAATGTGGCCTAAAGCACGACGCGCGGTCCAATCGCTGGAGATTCGAGGCTCGGACAACAGGTTCTCTTCCGACCCTCAATAGTAGCTGCTGATGCAGTGGAGCATGACGGCAAGAACAACATCACGGCTGCATGTTGGCAGGAACATGCTGAGGACACCGCTCTCGCCGAAGGAGATGCTCGACCTAGCGCAGCACTGGTACAAGAGGTCATGAGAACTCCCGCTCACGCACACACACACACACATGTGTATATTATATATATATATATACACACACACACGCACATAAGCACACAGTGTGGCACAGTAGAAGCAACCCAACCCCTGTCTCGAAGCTGACGTGTGAACCTGAAGCCTCAACCATCAACCCCAGGCCCTAGATCCGATTTTGTGCTGCACCCCTAAACTCTGGCCCCTAACCCCAACCAGATCTCGCTGACGAAGCTGCACTGCTCACTTTACATACGAGGTCAGAGAGGGGACGCAATGGCCACAAAAAGCAACTTGTAGCTGCGCCCCAGGCTTCCGCAGCTCGGCCCCCAAGAATTCGAAACCTGAAAGCACTGATGCTATGCAGCTCTGTCCAACAGGAGCTTTTCTTCGCAACAATTGCGACATGCCATAGACTACCAGTGTTTCCCTGCCTTCCGTCTTCTTGCAATTGAACTTTTCGTCTTGATTCCTGCACGGGCTGTGCTCTTCAACGAAATGAACGCGGCAACGAGACGCGCCTAGACATTTCTTCTGTCAATGCTGACGACCAGTGCTTGCACGACCTGATGTGCATCTCCCAAGCCGTCATTGCATCATGTGCCCCAGCGCGAGGCAAGAAATCTATGCGGGGGCACTTGGATGCGCCGAAGGCCAGGTCTATGTGCGATGATTTCAGATCGGCACCTTGGTGGGCACATCATGTCAGGTTTCGACCACATCGACTTCAGCATGGCTGCGATAGTGCTGCGATCATACCGTGTGCACACGGCAGCATTGCAGAAGCACGCAACAGAACAAGGTGAAATCGAGCTTCGCGCCATTCTCCACCTCATTTGACCCAAGAAACAATACTGAACTGAATCGAAACACATGAACGGCACCACCACCCAGCAGTTGCTGCAGAGACCCCCGCCGCGGCTCGACGTTGATACCTTGCGGCGGGTTGTTCAAAAACTGTTCGGCCGACATGGTTCAACTCCTTGCTCGATTTTTTGTTTGTCCCTGCGTTTTGGCATGTTGGTCTTATAGCTGTGTTTGCGGCGCGCCGACAGGCAGAAGCAGGTGGCAGCAGCGCTGATGCAACCGAAACCGTTACCATTGTGCCGGTTTCACTTCCTCAGTAGCACATCGTGCTACAGTACAAACAAGCTGCGTGTTGCGGGCGGCCAGCTCAACTTCCATAGCGGACCTGCCTCCACAAGGCCTGCTGTTCGTGTTTTTAATTGTTTTTGTCCATCGCGGTTTTTTTCGAAACGTTTTGCTCCCAACTCCGGCGTGCCGGACGGCCGCAACTCCGAGAAAATGTGCGATTAGATATACTAAACCTTGTCATGCTCGGCAATGACGTCTGATTGGACGTGAAACTGTCCCTGAGAAAAAGACGCACACCCTCGCGGAAAACCGCGCACAGTGGCATGCGTCTGTGAAACAACGGCATGTGCCATCGAGCATCAGCAGGAAGGCCCGGGTCAACAATTGGGGCGCGCACCCGGGACCCACCTGGAGGTGGCTTTAACACCGCACACAGATGCACTGCCGCTGCCATGCAGCAATTCCTTCTGCACCCCGCTGTGGCGTGGCACTCGGGCCCGGTGCATTCCAGCATCGGCCAACTCGGCGAAGTCAAGAGCAAGACCGCGAGATAGCTGTAGCTGTGCAGTTCCGGCATGTTTCGGCCAAGTCCGTGGGAGAAGATGTTAACACACCTTTCTACGACAAGTCCACGCGGCCCCAGTGCAACGAGGGCTCCGGCGGCGCAGAGCTCACACACACACACACACACACACTACGCCAGCTGGGAGGCAAGGGGAGGCGGTGACTCGGCGGAGTCAGCGAGGACGTCGCTGAGCAAAGGTGACTCGCCCTCAACATTGGCGGTAATTGGAGATCGGCAAAGAAAGCAAGCTGGCAGCGCAGGACCTGGCTGCGGCAACCGACAACAACCCCGCCCATCGCCCCACGAAGGCAGCGATTGTTGCTGCACGCTGCAGAGGGAGGGCAGCGCGTGCTCGTGCTCGAGCCAACAACCGGACGAAGTTTGCCGCTTCAGCACGCGTCCGCCAACCTCGATGCCGAGAACGACCAAGCGGCGCCGCGACGCCCGCCCGAACTCAGGGTAGGTGCGTTCCCTGCTCCGGCGGGCTTCTGCCAGGGCTGCGCCGGCGGTGGCCCCACTGCGCGGCAGGGCGCCCCAGCTGACTTAGTGGGGACCAGGCCGGTGTCAACTGCGAGTTGAGAGCCGCCCCACAAAAGAGTCCATTAGCAATGACCTAAATACGCCGCTCATCCTGCCTTGCGGCTTGGAGGTTGATGCCAACTTCGTGGCAGACACGCGTGGCCGCCGACCTCACTGTCGCAAGGTGCCGGACCGAGGGCAGGCTGCGACATGATCACCCAACACACCCAACGGGCGTTGGCAGCGGCAGCGGGCTGGGGGCAGCGGCAGAGGAAGTCGGAGGCGGCGGAGCAATAACACGCGGAAAGGAGCCGAATCGACGGCGAGCTCAGGAACGGTAGGACACACAGTGAGAACCCTGGCTGCAAATGGGCCCGACTGCGAACCCAAGGGTGCGAGCTTGGCAGGGCCAACGCTGTGGCGATGCTCAGCGAGAGCAAAGTCATCAAGGACCCGAGCGCCAGGGCGCTGCCAGCCACGCAAGGCGACCTCGGGTTCAGCGTCGTCGACTGGCTGCGCAGTGGCATGCTGGGCTAAGTCAGCCCAGGGGGGGATGCGGAAGCCGGCCGCGACGAGCACGTCAGTGGCTTCGAGCAGGTCGCGAATCGGAGTGCCACAAAAAAAGTACCTGCCGAGAGGTTGCGGGCATCTGAAAACCTGTGCCAAACCTTGCAGGAAGGATGCATCCCGAACGGACAGAACAGTGAATGCGTCGGCCCACGACGCCCAAAAAGAAGCTGCCGCGTACAGCGCGGCACTACGCAGGCCAAGGCCGCCATGACGCAAAGCGAGCTGTGCAACACGGGAAGCAGCAGGTGGGAGCGAAGAACGCTCTTCAGCACAACGCCATGCGCTTAAGGTGTCGAGCATAGCCGCATCATGCGCAACTGCAAACTCACTCGTGGGCCCGGGCGCAAGCGTCCGCAACGCAAACTGGGCTCGCGGGGCTGCGGTGTGTAACAACAACAACAACCATGCAACCTGCGTGTCACCAGTGCCGCCAACATGTGTAAGAGATCCCTGTGTCGGGCACTCAAAGACTGGAGGCGACTGGCGATGAATTCCGGCGAACCGAAGCGAGTGCCAAGCAACACGGAGGGCAGGCCGCAGACCCAAAGCAAAACACAGCAGGGCTGAGGGGGTCCCCTTGTTCGACGCCTTTGGCTTGACTGATGCTTCGGGAAACTGGGCCCGACTGGGCCCTGTTGCCAGACGAACGAGGAGGGGCGACGTATCCACAACCTTGCAAACGGCAACAGGGCGGCTGCCTTGGGCGGAGCTCGTGTAGGATCGCGTGGCGGCCGATGCCATCATAAGCAGCAGAAGCATCGAGGGGCACCACGGTCAGGGCCGGGTTCGGGCACACCTTGCTTGCGCATTGTGTGCCAAAGCGTTGCCAAGGGCATATTGGTGTGGGCGGCAAGCAGCTTCAAGCGAGGGTGCAAACGGTTGTGCCAGTGTACGTGCGAGGAGGCGCCGGAAGTAATCACCGACGATTTATCCACGGGTACCGCCGGTGAGCTTGCGGAGCGCAACCATTCGCCCAAGTCCCAGGGCAACTCGAATGTCATCGGGGACATGCGCCTGCGCAAGGAGCGAGGCGACATCAGCAAACGCTTGTGTGGAGTCGTCGAGGTCCAACACGACGCGCACGACTTCAGCTGCCCCCTTACGCGCCCGGCGCAGGTTAGTAAACAGTGGGGGAAGAGGGATTCCAATTGAGCAGCTCCGGGTCGATGGCTTCATGCGGCTCACGTGGTCGGCGGGTCGAGCACCTGTCGCGCTGCAGACAGTTCTCGAAGGTGAGCTAAGTGCCGGGCTCGACGTGGACGGGCATCATCATCGGCCGCCTCGGTTGCATGGCGGTTTTTTTTTTTTGTCGAATCCGCGGGCTCGCGGGCTCGTGTGCTAAGGCCGCTTGCAGCAAAGCAAAGCTAAGCTGCCCAGTTACCCTGCACGAACGATTAGCTCCGCCCGATGTCTTTGCACAGGTCCGAATCAATTCCAATGTGTTGTGCAAAGCACACCTTTGCAACAGTGCGGTCGCACCCGAAACAAGCAGCTCGGCCGCGCCAGGGCGTCCTCAGCTAGGAAGGGGTCAAGGTTCGCCAAGGAAACCCGGTAGCGCAACCGGGTGTCGGAAGCGGGTTCATGCTCGCAGTTGGGCACATCATGTTCAACGCCACCTGGGTCGTTCTCCGTGCTGGAGGCACGAGAACTAGAGGAAGAACTAGAGCTGGGAGAACCAGTGGGTACTAGAGGTTGCTCCTGGGCCGTGCTGGCACACGCTCCACTGGAGTGGCATGCGCGGAGTCTGCCAACAACAGCCGCGGGATGCCCTGCGGGCAACAAATCGGGAGGATGTGTGAAGGCGGTCTGGGTGCCTTGGTGTTGTGATACTGACGGGATGTGGTGTCGTGATCCGGGGCGAGCTGTGGTGCCTCGACACCATGTGCATGGCATGCCGTGGTGCATGCATTGGCGGCTTCTGGCGGCTTCGGGCGGCCACCGCGCACAGGTGCTAATTAAGGCAGGGCAGTTGCGTCGGCAAGCCAGCACACATCTTCCAGACATGGGCCAACATGTTCAGCCGGCGCACTGCCGCGGCCCCAGCGGCCCAAAGCAGTGCTGCCCACGGCTTTCTGCACAACGACGGGCACCAGACCCACCACATCCCACCACCGCCGAGCCCAGCCCGCTGCCGCTGCCTGGCGCAAAGCCGGCGGCGCTCGCAACCGACGTAAGCGGACCAAGCGGGACGCGCCTCGTTCCACCGGCCGCCTATTTCGGACCCGAGCACAACAAACTTGTGGGGTATAGTTCCGGCTACGTTCCCCTTTTTTATACCGGCGTCCGGCAAGGCAAGGCCATTCAAAGCCCCAGTTCAGGCCCCAGTCCAGGGCCGATTGCAAACTGCGTTGCGCGAAGCACGCGGCTGTCGAGGGGTGGCCCGAGAGCGGAGTCGGCGAGGACGTCGCTAAGGGGCGGGATGTCGCCGTCGTGATTGGCTGTGCCAACGAAGGGCAAGTATAGCAAGCTGGCGGCAAAGGAGTGGGCGGCTGCTCTGGAGAGCAAGGCGGACCACCGAGACGCAAAGGCACAAATGTTGGGCCCTCGGACGGCAGGAACGGCCCGCTCGTGAACGAGCAACCAAGAAGCGGCTTCATTGCCCCAGTGGCATCCAACGGCTGCCGAGCTGGATCGCAAGCACTATCGCAAGGACTTTGCGCCTGGCAGCGTGGCAGAGCTCGGGGCAGTACGTACCCTCCCTAGCCTTGCGAGCTTGTACCGAGGCTGCACCCGTCGTGAACGGGAGCCCGTTGCGCGCAAGGGGAAGGACCAGCGCCGCGTCGTAGCACAGGGCGGCGTCGCCCCGTACACAACCACGTCGACACGTCTGCAATCATCGGCCTGTACGTTGGGCTGTGGTGCGGCCGAGCCAGACGACATGGTCCTCCGGTCTGACTGCCTCCTGCGCCACCTGGATCCAAAAAGGTCGAGCCACCAGGGAGCTGGTCCGCAGGTGTGATCGCCTCTTGGGTCCGATCCGCATCCATATTGGCCCCTGCCTCCGCAGCGGGATTGCGTCAAAGGAAAGGGCATGTCGCAGCCTCCGCAACAAGCGCCGTGATCACCGACCTCAACAAGTCTGCCTCCACGAGCATGCGAGGCAGGCGAGAAACCGCAACAGCAAAATGCGCATGTGGCGACTAGGGGTGGCTGAATAGAACGGAAGTGAACTTTTTGAAGACTTGC